TTATTATTATTATTATTATTATTATTATTATTAATTTTTATTGATGAAATATTTTTAACCTCATTGTAAAGTGCTACTGGATGGTAATAGAAATAGCGCTATATAAATAAAGTATTATTATTATTATTATATTATTATTATTATTATTATTATTATTATTAATAAGCAGAGGGGCTAACAGAGCCAGGCAGCCAGTTGACATCAGTAGTTAAATTTGAAAATAAATTGCAGGTCAGCAAGATAGCACAAATGCACACAAAAAGAAAGGAAAAGAAGAGAAAAGAGAGAGAGAAGCATCATCTTTCTGTATAAATGGGGCCTTAATTTGACAGATTTTTCCCTGTGAGAGCCTGCAGCATGGTTGTTTACGGTGGTTAGCAATCAAAAATAGAAATGATAATGCCATATAAATAAGCTGTTATACTGGAAATTGTTTTCACCAGGACTGCTCTGGTATTTTAACTGAGATCGCTCTTCTGTGCTGTTGAGCAAATGATCATGTTGGGCATTTTGTTTCTTCAGAAATTACTTTGTCCATGTAAGATGTGAAATAAGTTATGTAGGAACAGACTTGCACATACTTGGCTTTTTCAGACATAACATGACACACTTTATTTCCTCACAAGGACTATAAGCTTTAGTGTTAATTTTGTACATTTTGTTGACCAGCAATTTTTGGCAGTGTGTCAGACCATATCTGAATCTGGCTATCATATGAAAGGTCTGAAAGAATGTCTTCCCAAAGCACTGAAACGATTTTAAAAAGCGTTGGAGTTATTATCACTTTGTCCGACGGGCATTGTGGCGCATTTTGCACACTAAAATGGTGAATTTGGCTGGCTAAAAAGTATTTTAGCCCGCTGAAATAGGCCAATAAGTAATTTCAGCACTTACAATATGCCCTATTGAACTTTCCTTCATGTCTTTTACAATTTTTGAAAACTCAAATGGTAAGATTTTGTGATTTCTAGCAAGCTTTGCTTGGTTTAATTGTGTATTTTCATCCAGGGAAAATAAAGCCATTCAACTTGTAAATGCTCACTGGATTGTTCAGACTGTTTTGGTGTCATTTGTTCAGTTTTTATTTTCTCAATGCCCTCCAAAATGATAATAATAGCAATAGTCTTATAGAGTTTATGTCCTTGGGCATCAGTATGTTTTGGGTCGTTCTCAGAGCTCATTCCACAGCCCATGGCAGTCTGTTTGTATAACCAAAGATCACACATATGTCCACATAGTCATGATTGTCAATTCAGATCAATTCTGTTCAAGCTGGCAACATTTAAGCAACTTGAGCACCTCTTGGAAAACTTACCCCAAGATCATGTCGCTGTGTACATGAGTGCCCTAAAAGCTGCTCTTGCAGGTCTCACTAGGAGATACAGCCAATGTCAGTACTGTTTTTCTCACGGATGCATCCATCTATGTCAACACATCCTAACAAAGATATTGATGAAGCTAATTTTAATATAGTTCTCATAACTGAACTATTTTCATTATCTCTTCAGATTGCAGTCATTACCAACGCTCTGTTTATGAGCAAAAAGCACTAAAATCACACATGGTGAGACCACAAGAACAAGGCAACTAGCCAATGCAACCAGCTCAGTACAGGAGTTAAAATTGCAGGGGAGATGTCTTGTTCTTTGTAGCTCGTGGCACCTGACTGTGTTTACCAGCTTCACACACCAAAGTACAACAGAATGCAGCAGAAACAAACCTGAAACAATCAATTAATGGAAGTAATCAATGTCACATCAGAGACATCAGAACAATTGCTTTGTGATGAGTGCAGTGATGTAGTGGTAAGTGAATTGGACTCTGGATTGTCAGGCCTCTGCTTTTAGACCTCAGAGCAGATTACAGATTGAAGCTCTTCTATGTGTCTATGTGAATGATCACCCTACACGTGATCATTTTACTCCACTGGTAAATGACTTGGTCAGCAAAATATGGCAAGTCACTGACAAAGAGGAATCCTTAAACTTGGCTTTGAGTGTGTGCTGGGTTTACATGTTCAGTTATGTTGTCAAGTGTGTTATCTAAATGAAATATTCTTTGAAAACAAAAAATGTGCAAATGGTTGCTCAGCTGATCAAACAAACTAGTTTGTCACTGTTTTATACCGACAGTATACATGTACACATACACTGTAGCTCTAGTATTTTTCTTGCATATGACTGTAGGGGTGCTGATCTAGTCTCATGCATCAGTACTTAAATGTACTGCAAAGCTAAATGACATTCCTGGTTGTTAATATTTATGAAGCAAACTGCTGTTATTGATACCATGTTTCTTCAGACTAAGAAAAGATCCTCTTTTAGGCAGTCATTTGATTGTTAAGTAGAAATTAATGGAAATAGTCAGCTTCATGCAAAGTTTTTTCAAACGGAAGTGTTCCCTTCGCATTCACATCACTCTGAAAAACGGACCTTTTGTTTCATAGTTTCACTTCAAAATTATGTTAAAAAACCATACAATGCTAAAACATGTAATTTTGCAATAGCAATTTGGGTCACTGTTTACCAATGGCATGACTGAATTATCTTTGATTCAGAAATATGCTTACTCAAAAGATCTTTTTTAAAACACAAGTTACTATCAGTTTCCTGTGGGAGGGAGGGAGGGAGGGAGGGTCAGGAAGGGAGGGAGGGTCAGGAAGGGAGGGAGGGTCAGGAAGGGAGGGAGGGTCAGGAAGGGAGGGAGGGTCAGGAAGGGAGGGAGGGTCAGGAAGGGAGGGAGGGTCAGGAAGGGAGGGAGGGTCAGGAAGGGAGGGAGGGTCAGGAAGGGAGGGAGGGTCAGGAAGGGAGGGAGGGTCAGGAAGGGAGGGAGGGTCAGGAAGGGAGGGAGGGTCAGGAAGGGAGGGAGGGTCAGGAAGGGAGGGAGGGTCAGGAAGGGAGGGAGGGTCAGGAAGGGAGGGAGGGTCAGGAAGGGAGGGAGGGTCAGGAAGGGAGGGAGGGTCAGGAAGGGAGGGAGGGTCAGGAAGGGAGGGAGGGTCAGGAAGGGAGGGAGGGTCAGGAAGGGAGGGAGGGTCAGGAAGGGAGGGAGGGTCAGGAAGGGAGGGAGGGTCAGGAAGGGAGGGAGGGTCAGGAAGGGAGGGAGGGTCAGGAAGGGAGGGAGGGTCAGGAAGGGAGGGAGGGTCAGGAAGGGAGGGAGGGTCAGGAAGGGAGGGAGGGTCAGGAAGGGAGGGAGGGTCAGGAAGGGAGGGAGGGTCAGGAAGGGAGGGAGGGTCAGGAAGGGAGGGAGGGTCAGGAAGGGAGGGAGGGTCAGGAAGGGAGGGAGGGTCAGGAAGGGAGGGAGGGTCAGGAAGGGAGGGAGGGTCAGGAAGGGAGGGAGGGTCAGGAAGGGAGGGAGGGTCAGGAAGGGAGGGAGGGTCAGGAAGGGAGGGAGGGTCAGGAAGGGAGGGAGGGTCAGGAAGGGAGGGAGGGTCAGGAAGGGAGGGAGGGTCAGGAAGGGAGGGAGGGTCAGGAAGGGAGGGAGGGTCAGGAAGGGAGGGAGGGTCAGGAAGGGAGGGAGGGTCAGGAAGGGAGGGAGGGTCAGGAAGGGAGGGAGGGTCAGGAAGGGAGGGAGGGTCAGGAAGGGAGGGAGGGTCAGGAAGGGAGGGAGGGTCAGGAAGGGAGGGAGGGTCAGGAAGGGAGGGAGGGTCAGGAAGGGAGGGAGGGTCAGGAAGGGAGGGAGGGTCAGGAAGGGAGGGAGGGTCAGGAAGGGAGGGAGGGTCAGGAAGGGAGGGAGGGTCAGGAAGGGAGGGAGGGTCAGGAAGGGAGGGAGGGTCAGGAAGGGAGGGAGGGTCAGGAAGGGAGGGAGGGTCAGGAAGGGAGGGAGGGTCAGGAAGGGAGGGAGGGTCAGGAAGGGAGGGAGGGTCAGGAAGGGAGGGAGGGTCAGGAAGGGAGGGAGGGTCAGGAAGGGAGGGAGGGTCAGGAAGGGAGGGAGGGTCAGGAAGGGAGGGAGGGTCAGGAAGGGAGGGAGGGTCAGGAAGGGAGGGAGGGTCAGGAAGGGAGGGAGGGTCAGGAAGGGAGGGAGGGTCAGGAAGGGAGGGAGGGTCAGGAAGGGAGGGAGGGTCAGGAAGGGAGGGAGGGTCAGGAAGGGAGGGAGGGTCAGGAAGGGAGGGAGGGTCAGGAAGGGAGGGAGGGTCAGGAAGGGAGGGAGGGTCAGGAAGGGAGGGAGGGTCAGGAAGGGAGGGAGGGTCAGGAAGGGAGGGAGGGTCAGGAAGGGAGGGAGGGTCAGGAAGGGAGGGAGGGTCAGGAAGGGAGGGAGGGTCAGGAAGGGAGGGAGGGTCAGGAAGGGAGGGAGGGTCAGGAAGGGAGGGAGGGTCAGGAAGGGAGGGAGGGTCAGGAAGGGAGGGAGGGTCAGGAAGGGAGGGAGGGTCAGGAAGGGAGGGAGGGTCAGGAAGGGAGGGAGGGTCAGGAAGGGAGGGAGGGTCAGGAAGGGAGGGAGGGTCAGGAAGGGAGGGAGGGTCAGGAAGGGAGGGAGGGTCAGGAAGGGAGGGAGGGTCAGGAAGGGAGGGAGGGTCAGGAAGGGAGGGAGGGTCAGGAAGGGAGGGAGGGTCAGGAAGGGAGGGAGGGTCAGGAAGGGAGGGAGGGTCAGGAAGGGAGGGAGGGTCAGGAAGGGAGGGAGGGTCAGGAAGGGAGGGAGGGTCAGGAAGGGAGGGAGGGTCAGGAAGGGAGGGAGGGTCAGGAAGGGAGGGAGGGTCAGGAAGGGAGGGAGGGTCAGGAAGGGAGGGAGGGTCAGGAAGGGAGGGAGGGTCAGGAAGGGAGGGAGGGTCAGGAAGGGAGGGAGGGTCAGGAAGGGAGGGAGGGTCAGGAAGGGAGGGAGGGTCAGGAAGGGAGGGAGGGTCAGGAAGGGAGGGAGGGTCAGGAAGGGAGGGAGGGTCAGGAAGGGAGGGAGGGTCAGGAAGGGAGGGAGGGTCAGGAAGGGAGGGAGGGTCAGGAAGGGAGGGAGGGTCAGGAAGGGAGGGAGGGTCAGGAAGGGAGGGAGGGTCAGGAAGGGAGGGAGGGTCAGGAAGGGAGGGAGGGTCAGGAAGGGAGGGAGGGTCAGGAAGGGAGGGAGGGTCAGGAAGGGAGGGAGGGTCAGGAAGGGAGGGAGGGTCAGGAAGGGAGGGAGGGTCAGGAAGGGAGGGAGGGTCAGGAAGGGAGGGAGGGTCAGGAAGGGAGGGAGGGTCAGGAAGGGAGGGAGGGTCAGGAAGGGAGGGAGGGTCAGGAAGGGAGGGAGGGTCAGGAAGGGAGGGAGGGTCAGGAAGGGAGGGAGGGTCAGGAAGGGAGGGAGGGTCAGGAAGGGAGGGAGGGTCAGGAAGGGAGGGAGGGTCAGGAAGGGAGGGAGGGTCAGGAAGGGAGGGAGGGTCAGGAAGGGAGGGAGGGTCAGGAAGGGAGGGAGGGTCAGGAAGGGAGGGAGGGTCAGGAAGGGAGGGAGGGTCAGGAAGGGAGGGAGGGTCAGGAAGGGAGGGAGGGTCAGGAAGGGAGGGAGGGTCAGGAAGGGAGGGAGGGTCAGGAAGGGAGGGAGGGTCAGGAAGGGAGGGAGGGTCAGGAAGGGAGGGAGGGTCAGGAAGGGAGGGAGGGTCAGGAAGGGAGGGAGGGTCAGGAAGGGAGGGAGGGTCAGGAAGGGAGGGAGGGTCAGGAAGGGAGGGAGGGTCAGGAAGGGAGGGAGGGTCAGGAAGGGAGGGAGGGTCAGGAAGGGAGGGAGGGTCAGGAAGGGAGGGAGGGTCAGGAAGGGAGGGAGGGTCAGGAAGGGAGGGAGGGTCAGGAAGGGAGGGAGGGTCAGGAAGGGAGGGAGGGTCAGGAAGGGAGGGAGGGTCAGGAAGGGAGGGAGGGTCAGGAAGGGAGGGAGGGTCAGGAAGGGAGGGAGGGTCAGGAAGGGAGGGAGGGTCAGGAAGGGAGGGAGGGTCAGGAAGGGAGGGAGGGTCAGGAAGGGAGGGAGGGTCAGGAAGGGAGGGAGGGTCATGAATGTATGATGATTGTATGGATGGGATGTGTGAGCACCCACAATCCCTAGAGTCGCTCAGTTGTCACATTATCTTTTAAGTTTGAGTGGCAGTACTGGTATTCACAGGTTTTTTTTGTGTAATTTTCTTGCAGGTTCTTAGCTTGCTGATTGATAAAAATGTTGGCGATGATTGTTAAAATGCATATCAGTTATTGGGTGAGCTTTGATTTGTGATCTATTTTAATATTTTGGCATTACTGTCGTATCAATTTTTGGATGAATTTGATAATGAATATCAGTTGCCTTAAGTCTACATTCACTACAGTTGGTTTTGTGATTATTGTGCATCTAAGGTTTTAAAATAGGTTTCTTTTCAAATAGAGCTTTTCATGGAAACTGCTCCTAAGTCGATACAAGGATTTAATTCTGCAGAGCCTGGTAAGCTCATGCAATTTATACCCCAGCAGGGCTGAATTTAGGTTATTTTCATGAACTTGATGGAACATCAACATTGTAGGCAACCTTACCTGTGTCCAGATATAAAAGAATTGGTTTGTTAAAAGAACTTATTTGTTTATCTGATTCTTGATCTTGCTCATTTCTATCCAATTTGAGGACTGAAGGGTAAATTGGGTGTGGTTATGTGGGTTACGAGGGGAGTTTGGAGTAAGGAAAGTAGTGACAGAAGAAGGAGTGAGTGAAAGAAGACTGGCACTAGTTGTTTTACTGTCCAGGTCAGTAGTCGCTCATCCATCCTTCTTGTGATGTTTTTCTCTGCAGAAGTTAAGCATCATTGCCTGTGTGCACTGCCTCATCTGCGTCGGATCCCAAAACTAGTTCTGCTCTCCAAGGTGCCAAATGTAAGTAACATCACTCACTTGATTGATTGGGTTTCAAAAAACCAAAACCATAAGCAACCATTTTAGCTAATCACAAAGAATTACAACCCCTCTAATATAACTACTGTGTTTTTTACACCTCAGTTGATGCCAGTCTGTATCATGGGATGAACAGAGCGTGAACCCCACATCACAGACCAAGTACTCACTAGTGCTGGACGCTCAAGAGATCATCACACGTCACGTGACTTCATTGGTTCCGATGCTTCACGTATTGTGTGACAACGAGAGCCAAAACTTGATTGGTGGCTGTTTTTAGTTGATGATTAAAGTGACACTTCAAAAAATACACTACTGTTTACCATTTCTTTTGTTCGAACCCCTCCACGCAGGCGCAGAGTCGAACTGCGTGGATTGTGGGACTGCCTTTTTGTCCTCATTGCCACATGTCCCTCTTAGTCGAGGGGTTCTCGTAATGCCAGATTGCCTTTGAGACTTTGATTGGACAGATGCTTGGACTAGGATTTTCACGTATTCAGTGCTGGTTTATTTCTGGAATATATCACTGTGTACATGTAAATCGTACGGTAGCTGTTCGAAGTTTAAAATTCTTACCCAGAAAAATTTATTGAAATCCTCCAAACATTATTTTTTTTTGCCACTTCCCGGTCAGAAATTCATTCTTAATTCCCTGTAGGTGCTGTAATCTAACGGTTTCAGTTATAGTGGTTGATGCGCTTAGCTACAACTGAAATTAAGAAATATTTCAAATAAACATAATAGGCTAAAAATCCCAATCCTTCCTTTCGGGAAGGAAATCAGTGTTAAATTAGTGATAATCATAGTCCAAAAAACTAGCCAATCATACAATGTTTATCCAGAGCCACCTTTTCCTCGCTCAAAGCCCGGCCAGCTAAGAGGGACAGGTCTCTCTCTCTCCGTAGAGGCTCGGAAAAGCTTTTAGGGAGGAGAAAACCCGATATGAATGCAAACACAAAGATTTCTATAAGGGACGTGTCGAACCTCCGCGGAGGACTGGAGAGAAGGAAAAGGCGGCTCTAGGGACTGGGGATATCAATGGTTGGAGTATTACTAGGGACAAAACAAAAGAGGGGGGAGGCGGTCATTGTTACTAGTAACAGTTTCACAAGCGGCTACGACATAAGACTCTCCCTAGATTTCTTCTGGTATGTGGATAACGCAGGGGGACCAATCATGGAAAACACTTACGTGTAGCGCAACGCGTCAGGGAAAGCACCGGAAACGGGAAGGAACGCGCGTGGAATTTACGAGGAAATACCAGGAAATACATGATGGAACGCACGGTGTAAAAAAAAAGATAATAATAACAATAAATAACCTTTATTTACCCTCGGCAATGTTTATAGCACAAGTGCTAGTGGGGCCGAGCAAACAACCGAAACAAATAATTCAAACTGAACATAACATTGTTAAGAATCCTCGCTGGCCGGAGGCAAACCAGTTGGCTATTTTCAAGCGTGGCCGAGGATTTGAACTCGGGGCTACCGAGAAACAAATCCAGGTAGTGGCCAGAGCGGGACTCGAACCCGGGACCGCTGGATTGCGAGTCCGACACGCTGACCGCTCGGCCACGCTGCCTCC